GTGAGTTAAAGGATCCCTGGTGTCTTTTCACCTTAATCCTGATCTAAGAATCAGCAAACCTGAGTCATCATCCTGAGAAACTGGGATGTGACAGATGACCAGGCCCAAAGAACTGTGGTGAATGGAGTTAAATCCAGTTGGTGGCCAGTCACAAGTTGTGTTCCCCAGGGCTCAGTATTGGGGCCAGTTCTGTTTAATATCTTTATCAATGATCTGGACGAGGGGATCAAGGGCACCCTCAGTAAGTTTGCAGACAACACCAAGTTGGGAGGGAGGGTTGATCTGCTTGAGAGTAGGAAAGCTCTACAGAGGGATCTGGACAGGCTGGATCGATGGGCCGAGGCCAATTGTATGAGGTTGTCCTGGTTTTGGCCGGGATAGAGTTAACTTACTTTCTAGTAGCTGGTATAATGCTATGTTTTGGATTCAGTATGAGAAGAATGTTGATAACACACTGATGTTTTCAGTTGTTGCTAAGTAGTGTTTAGACTAAGCCAAGGATTTTTCAGCTTCTCATGCCCAGCCAGCAAGAAGGCTGGAGGGGCACAAGAATTTGGGAGGGGACACAGCCAGGACAGCTGACCCAAACTGGCCAAAGGGATAATCCATACCATATGATGTCACATCTAGTATATAAACTGGTTGGAGGGGGTGGGGGAATTGCCGCTCGGGAACTAACTGGCCGTTGGTTGGCAAGCGGTGAGCAATTGCATTGTGCATCACTTGTATATTCCAATCCTTTTATTATTGTCATAGTATTATTGTTATTATTATCATTATTAGTTTCTTCCTTTCTGTTTTATTAAACTGTTCTTTTCTCAACCCACGAGTTTTACTTTTTTTTCCAATTCTCTCCCCCATCCCGCTGGGGGGGGGCGCGAGTGAGCGGCTGCGTGGTGCTTAGTTGCTGGCTGAGGTTAAACCACGACAGAGGTTCAATGAGGCTAAGTGCTAGGTCCTGTACTTGGGTTACAACAACCCCATACACGCTTGGGAAAGAGTGGCTGGAAAGCTGCCTGGCAGAAAAGGACCTGGGACGTGGTTTAGTGGTTCACTTGGCAGTGTTTACAGTTGGACTTGATGATCTTAAAGTTCTTTTCCAGCCTAAATGATTCTATGATTCTATGACTAGATAGGACAAGACTGCCAACTCAGCAAAAATAGTAATGCAGTCACAATTTGGAAAAAGAACAGGCAAGCCTGGACCATGAAAGCAGCTTCGGTGAAAGGCACCGCAGCAGGAGGGCCAGAGCTGTGAGGGGGAGCCCTGCTGGGTACAGTAAAACCAACACCTTTGCTGTGACTGTACCAGGGCTTCAGTGGCCGGTTTCTCATACAAATGCTTGTGTTCACACAGAGAGATGTTTATGAAGTCTGTAATCCCAAATGCTTGAGCTCTTCAGGAAAAGGACATATTTGACTTCACTCGGATTAAATGCAGAAGTTGCTAATGTAAATGTGAAGATTTCAGGGACCAAAGTCCTTCTACTAATATCCCCTGTGATTTTTACAAGGCACAAATCAGTACCTCTGCAGGTAAGTCCTGCAGTGACTGACAAAAGCAATACTATGTCCTGCCATGCTTCTAGCCATCCATTTATTTTCCTCCTCCTCCTCCCCGTCCTCCCTTCAGCCTCCACCTCCAGCCTCCTTGCAAATGGACACACCTGGAAGGACTGGGTCTGCAGAGACACATGCTGCAGAGCACTGACCCCTTGCAGAGAGCACCTCTCTGCCTGGCTAGCAGCATGCTCATCAGGATATGACAAAATTCATATCTCTAGTAGGTGAAGTGGTTATGGTCACAGAAAAGATGATTTATTGCACTGAAGCCTCCTGGGTTTTCAGTAGCCAAAAAGCAAGCAGCTGGTGACCATCAGGGAACACCAGGGAGACTACGCTGGGTGTAAGCCAGCTCTGCAGAGCACTGTGGCTTTCAGGCAGACACAGGGCTCTCCCCTGTCAGGGGACATGGAAATGCTGAGGGCTGGGACTGCATGACCAAGGGTGGCCTTAAAAGAGCTGCTGAGAGATGCAGCCTCCTGCTGCTCAGTGCTGAAAAGAGCTACAGCCCTTTAGCTGAGGCAATCTTAGATTATGATTGCCCTGATGGAAAAAAAAAAACCACCTCATATAACCAGCTTAAATATAGAGAAGCTGTAACAGTCTGGAGAGTTGTGGCATGTCATCCCAGCCAGTCTCCTATTAATACCAACAGGAGCAAGGACTACATGGTCAGCTAGCTGAACGTGCAGCCGAATTGCAGAGCACAGGAACAAGTACTCTGTCTGATGCTCAGTGCTGTCCATTGCAAAGTTTGCCCTGAATAACTTGTGATTTTGTTTTACTCCACATTTTCTTACTGATTTATTACCTTGGGTTAACAGTTAAGATTGAACCAGTTTGCAACAGCATGTCCTGCTACCATGTATTTTTTCTGTGTGTGGGCTTCAGGAAAAACCCAAGACAACAAGGTATGCTGTTAAAACAGGCAGTGTTCTGGAAACCCTAATTCTGTAGCGCAGCGTAATCCACTAAAAGCTAGTCAGCAGTTTCTAGCATTACGATCGGTTTCCAAGATCTGAAAAGAGGTGACGCAGACGATCTGTGCATTAGCAGGTATCCTTGGACTGACGTTTCTATTGCTACTGCAATCTCTCTTCCTCACGCCCTTCTGCACACCGTGTGCTGGAGCCACTGACTGCCAGCCCTAGGACCCTCAGCCAATTTTCACTGTCGGTACTATGCGTGTTGACCTTGAAAAGCCTGCTCCTTGCATAGCTGCCTTTCAACCCTGAGATCTGAACAGAACAAGGTTTCACCCAGATTCTTTCCCATTACATTTTTGTAGTTGCCCAAGAGGTTTCTGCCTTGCTTGAGCAAAGGAAGAGGTGCAAAAAGATGGGTGAAGGGGGATGTTGCTGACCAGAATTACCCATTTAACTGCCCACTGTCCTCCAGACATGCAAGCCTGTGGCACAAATCCTGCTGTAAGCCCTGGAGAACGTGCAGTGCACTGCACTTTTCTGTGGTGCTCAGATGCATGTGATATCCTTTCCTTGCTTCCCATGTCACGTCTTCACAGAACTGTAGCTTGCGGCGTAAGCTGCGGTGAATGTAGGGTTGCCTGCAAGACTGGACAGGAAGACCAGACCAGAATGGTGTGGCTGTGGCAGGGGTGCAAGCAGGAGGTGGGGATTAGTAAGGGGAGACAATGTCTAGCATGGTTTTCCATAAGGGAAATACTTTAAAGTTTTTAATAGTTTTAAGCCCCTTGGAGTGTCCAGTTTGTGCCTTGGTTAAATGTGGGAGGCACTGCTCCTCATCAGCAAGCCTGCTCTGAGTGCTACGGACGCTGTGTGCGTGAAGTGACTCTTTCATAAACCCTCTAGCAGCAAGTAGCTTTACTGAGCAGTTGCTTATAATGATTTATTTTTTGTGAGGCAGTTTTCCAAATCTATTTTCAAGAAATAGTTGTTTTCTGGACAGAGGAAATACATATGGAGTTGAATAAATATCCAAGGCTGAGCTCCTTCACAGAAGGCAAAGCTCCTGGCATTGCATAGTCTCCACCTGAGGCCTGTTTGCTGTTCATTAGGTGACCACTGGCTTTTACTTCATTGATGTGAGCAGCAAAAAGCACCTTGCTGTGCTTTAAAAGAGGAGCTTCCCTATATCACCTGTGTTTCATTGGGAGAGGAGATGCTAACACATCAGTCTTTTGGGATTAGAAGGGAACTCTTGCTTCAGGAACTCTAACGACTAGGTTTTCAAAACATTGAGTACGGTGGCATTTGAAGCTAGCTGAAACTCAGGTTGAAGACGAGTCTTTTACTGTACTTCCAAGAGTGTGTTTAACCCTCTTTTGTCAGAAGGAATGCTTTATAAAACTTCTGGCTGGCTCAATTACATGTTATTAATTTTATTCCCAGACCTGATGTGGAACAGCTACAAACACCAACAAAGTGACCCACATGTCAATTTTTTTATTAAGGCTCAAAGTCTTGAAGCCAGATGTTTGAGCAACAGTAGAGGGAAAAATGAATTCAATTTACTGGCAGGGGGATAAGCCTCTATGTCATGGGATCTTCTCCACTCCTTTGAGCCATCATTTGTACAGTTTTCTTGAGTCCTTTTCTCAAAACAAACAGGCGAACCTGGAAGCTGAAGAATGGTTATCACATGGAGGAGAGCAGAGCAGATAAAAAGAGCTGACCAAGCATGCTGGCTTCAGCAGGTATGCAGACTGTCTGGGCTGGAAGCCCCATACCCAAGCAAATGAGCCCTGCTGAAGTTCACCATCTCCACTCAGGTTGCTTCCCTAGGAGACCAGCCTTCACTGGGGGAGAAGACTACCCTGCGGCGGGCTCTTCTTGGTAAGCACAGCAAAGGACAGCCAGCCATGGCACAGGTCACAGGCAGAAAGGACAGGTTTTACCGGGCAAAGCTGTATGTCAGCAGACTCCCAGTTTCACCAGGGGTACACCACGTTGGAGCTAGAAGGCTGGATAACCAGATGTATTCGGGGACTTCAGGATAATCTTGGCATCAGGTAATTTTTGAAATGTTTGTAAGAATCAGGCGTTTGAGAATGGGGGGTGCTGGCAAAGCCAGCTGCAGAAAACTTTATCTACATCCTAGAGACCCTTAAATTTCTGGTCAGAATACCGTGTCTTTTGCTACCATGATTT